CCAGGGGCATGGGGGCCAGCTCTGAGACCGCCCAGAGAGTAGGGTCAGAAGGGATCCTGGAGGACCCGTAGTGCGACTCAGAGCAGCCCACATGGGACCAGAGCAGCCTGCACCCCTACCCTGGGGAGCCATGGGTGAGGGAACTGGCTTGGCTAGGGCAAGGGGCTGGGCTGAAGTCAGAGGGAAGGGCACAGAATCAAGGACAAGGCTGGAATTTGGGCTGGACCCTCCTGAGACTGGCCCTGCAGCAGGCTCTGAGAAGACCACAAACTCATTTGAGAAGCCAAAGGTACAGCCCACAAGACTGGCTGGTTCTACTGAATGCTTCCTGAATACAGCCCCTGCCTTGGAGGTCCACCAGCAGGCCAGCAAGACCTTCTGTGGGTGAAGGGCCTCTGGCATTCCTTTCCAGAACAGAAGGATGTGGGGGCCAGGAGAAAGGGGGTCTCCCCAACGTGTCCCCAGCCTTCTCCAGGAGCTGCGTCAGGACCCTGGCAAATGCAGTTGAGACTCCCCTGTGCACCCTGAGAGGTAAAGGTCTCTCTCTCCCTGGGACACGGAGCCAAGTGCCAGAGTAATGATGCCACAAGTGTGGTCAGGCCTTTCATCTCCAGGCTCAGGCACTCATTAGCTCTCCCCAAGAGCAGCCCTGCCCACCAGGCACCCTTCCCTGCCTGCCTGCCGTGCCAGCAGCCTCCAGGAGCTGATCACAGGATCTGTCTTCCATATCCACTGACTGTGAACCCTCTCCCTTCAGAACAAGGAGACCTGGGACCTGCCTCCTTGGCATGGGTGAGGGCTGGAGCCCCTCATCAGGCACCTTCCTGTGACTCCAGCTTCACCAGTCACATGAAATCTCTCAGGAGACTGAACACTAAGGGCCCCCCAGAAGGCTGGAGGTTGCTGACAATGCTGACACAACTTGGTTTGCAGAGACCAGGCCCAGGGCTCAGACTAGCTGAGCCTAGGAGCAGGGGAAGCTGCCCAAGGCCCAGCAGGACCTGCTTCCCACCAGTTCTCCACCTGTTCATCCCAGCATGTGCCTGATGAAAGACCCTCCCCACCTGCTGGTGCTGAAGGAGGTATCTAAACCTCCCAGGATCCCCAGACTGGGCCAGAGCTTGCCACATCTTGATAATGGCAACTGCAATAGCCACAAAATCTGGGCTGACCAACTGCATTTAGGGGAAAGGCAGGCAGGAACCACACCCTAGGACCTGGGTCCAATACTTGACGCCATAGCACTGTGTCCATCACATAGGCCCTGTTTGGAGCTGGCACACAGGAGTGCTTAGTCTCTGCCTGCAACCCAGGAGGCTAGGCAGCCCAGTGAACCCTCAGCCTGGGCTTCTCTGAGGACCCAACCAGGAGAGCACCTGCCCTCCAAATCCCAGAGTGTTGTACAAACAACCAGGTATCCACACTGGCCACTTGCCACTGGTGGTCTGTACCAGCCCTGGGGACCCCAGGAATTCATCCATTCCCCCGCACCTTCTTCCTAAACAAGCATGGCATGTCTGGACCCCGCTTGGGTGGTTTGGAGAATGTGGACAGGTGGTAGAGTGCCCTTACAGTACCAGGGGTCCCTGCATGGACACCAGGAACCTGAAGCCCTCCGAAGAGCTCCTGGAATGGTGTGAGGCCTGAATCAACTGGCACATATCAGAGCCCAAGCCCTTCCCTCTAAGCAGAGGCCACTCAGTAAACACTCGTGAAGTGGATCCCTGCATGAGGGCAGGGTCCTGGAGTGCTGCCATGCTCAGCACCTGACCTGTTGTCCATCACAAGGAAGCTACTCCTGTGCTTCCCTCTAAGAAGCGCGGTTAATCTGTTTCACAGTGGCCAGCTCACCTGCCTGCTCCTCCTGGTGCAACAGGCACCTCACGGAGGGTCAGAGAACATGCATACATTCCCACTTAAAATCCTGTCTTATTCCACTCCCCAGACCTATACAGACTCTGGGGCTCAGGCCCAAGTACTCACGGTTGGTCTGAGAGCATCTCAGGGGTGGCTTTGGCCACGTAGTTGATGGGCACCAGCCCGGTGCTGGGCGGGCTGGAGAGCCTTCGGGCGAAGATATAGTCGCCCTCCTCCTTAAGGGCGTAGAGCCTGTCCCCGCGAGTGACGCTCAGCTCCTCCGGGCGCCGCGCGGTGAAGTCGTAGAGCGCATGAAAGAGCTGCGCGGGGGGCGCAGAGCGCAACTCAGGGCTCTGCCGGGGACTCGGTCGCTGAGCCGGCGGTGGGCTAGGGCGCTGGGCTGGCCGGGGGCTCGGTCGCTGAGCTGGCGGGGGGCTATGGCTCTGGGCCGGCGACGGCGGCGTCAGGGCCCTGGGGCCCGGGGATGCTGGCCTCTGGCTCACCCGCCTCCAGATCTTGTCCCAGAACGACAGGAAGGCCAGACGCTTCCTGAGGAAGGGCTCCGCGCCCCTGGGGGGCGTCGGGCTCGGCTGACGCTGGAGGTGCATGGGGCAGCCCTAGGGTCAGCACACCCGGCAGAGGGCCCCCCAGCAGAGGAGGCCGAGTGCTGAAGCCATCAGAGTGCGAAGGAGAAACTGGAAGGGCCGGTGGGACCGCTGGGCGGACTTCCTGCGCAGGTCCCTAGCTGGCACCTGGTATAGGGTGACAGACAGGGTCACTCCAGAGGGTCCCTAAACAAGGCACACAGCTCCCCGCCTGCTTCCTAGATTGGATAAATGACTAGTGGGGCGAAGGGCAGCACCCGTAGCCCCTCCCAAGGACCGCTGTGATGTCCAGTTGTGCTGAGAGCAGCTGGGCGGGGCTGCAGCAGAGGACAGGCTCCAGGTGATTGAGTGGGCGGTGCCGCGGCAGGCGCCGGCCCCAGTCGTGCTCAGCCGGAGGGAGCGGCACTTCCCTGCCACGCCCTGCAAGTGCAACAAGAGAAAGGCTGGAGCTCCTGCCCTGCTGCCCTCGAGATGGAGGTCCCTGGAGGCGGCAAAAGCTGCTCATCATCAGTGTGCTGGTGTGAGGGGCAGCATCCTGGGTGTCTGGCTGAGGCTGGCTGCAGGAGCTCAGAGTTCCATCCATATCCAGAGGGCACAGCTTCAAGGGTCTTTATGGTTGGGGTGTGCTCCCCCTTCCCCAGGAGTGGAACCTCAGTGCACCCAGGGAAACTTTCCACCAGCATCAGCTCACTGCCCACCCAAGGTTAGACAAGACTGTAAGCAAACTGGGCCATCCCGGCCACAGAACGCCACTCAGCAGTGAGATAGAGCAACTGTTAGTGCACAGGATAGTCCGAACAGTCAGGAACTACGCTGAACCTCAGAGGCTAACCCCAAAGGCTGCAGGTACTGTGACTCAGTCCAGGGCCTTGTGTGTGTGCTAGGCAAGACTCTGCCACTGAGCTTCAACCCCAGCCCCTATACAGCATTCTTAAAATGACACAATCATAGTTAGTGGTTGCAGGGGCTAAGGAAGGGTGGGTGAGTCACAAAGGAGTTCCTTTGGTGGATCTCCCTGTGTCGGTCAATATCAGTGTCCCAGTGTGATCCTGTGCTACAGCTTTCCAAAAGGTCTCCTTCTGTGGACACTGGGTATATGTATGTGGGATTTGTTAGTCCCTACTAACCACATATCTCAATCCACATATCTCAAATGAAAAGCTGATTAAAAAGTAGATGGGAAATTAGGGAAAAATTTAGATGGGAAATTAGGAATAGCAAAAAGCGTTTTTGGAGAGCTGGGGTTGTGGCTCAGTGGTAGAGCACTTGCCTAGCCTGTGTGAGGCACTGGGTTCCATCCTCAGCACCACATACAAATAAAATAAAATACTGTGTCCACCTAAAGCTAAAAAATATTTTAAAAGAGGGGGGGGACAAGGAGACAGAAATCAGGACATGCCTGAAGAGGAGGGGTTTCTGTCCCCACATTCCTCCTCCAGGGGAGAGCTGCAGGCCTGGGGTTAGAAGGTCTTCCTCCTGCTGGTTTTCATCCACTTCCCCTTCCCAGAGGCAGTCACCCCTCTCTGACAGTGCCTTTTCTTCAAATAATCTAGATCTCCCTTGAATCTCTAAATCAGCAATGACCCCTGCTCCGACTTCTTTAGTGTCCTGGCAACGACAGAATCAGCACCCACCACCCCTGTCCAGTCAGTTCCTGGGCTTTCATCCTTAGGCCGGGAGGGCACAGCAAACCAATGGACAGAAAAGCTACCCCCAGGAAACAGCGTCAGCTGGAGCTGAAGGGCTGTGGCCACAGAACAGGCTAAGAGGAGTTGGGGACAAAGTCTTATCCTGGAAGGGGTTGCTCCTTTGTGAGGGCGGGAAGTGGCGAAGTGCACCTTTGGGTGTCTGAGACCATGGCCAGAAAAACCCCAGGGTGTCTTCCCAGCAATAGGGGGATGGGTGGTGATCCCACAGGTCTGAAGGCTAGAGGGGGGCGGTGGGGGAGGTGGGGGGTGTAGGGTGGACAGATGGGATGGGACCTGAGATCTTCCCTAGAGCTAAATGGAGACCCCATTTATCCAGACCAGACATGGCCTAAGCTTGGGCAAACCCTGTGGAGAGGCAGCCTGCGTGGGAGAAGTGGTCACCCCTGGCCCTGCTGACGGCTGGCTAAAGTGACCCCGTCACCAATTCCTGGTCATCTCCACCGAATTCCTTGGAGACCCCCAGGGCGGTGCTAGGGCTGGGACCTCCTGCAGGTGCCCTTCCCCATACCAAAAAGGGTCCGCAGGTGCCAGTGCTGATCCCCCCGAGGGCAGTGAGCAGGGACTCGAGCTGAAGGCTGAAGGCGGTAGGCCTCAGGCTCCGCGTTCGGCACCCCGCGCCAAGCCTGGCTTTCGTTGCGCACGGGGCGGGGCTGAGGGCCGCTGCTTTCTGTCCGCTGGGCGCTGAACACCCTCGCCCGCAGCCAGCGTCTACGCTCAACCCTCACGTCGCGTCGCAGGCATCCCGTCGCGCGGGGTGTCACAATGACCTGCAGTCCCTATGGCAACCCGCTGGCGGGCGGGGCCAAGGCGGCGCGGAGGGCTTTGACAGTGGGCAGCAGGGCTTCGCTCAGCCGGGCAGCCAGGCGCAGGCTGGGGAGGCAGCGGCACTTGGAGAGGAGGGCTGAGGACTCTGGGAAACGAGGGGTAGGAGCAGGGACTCGGGAGGTGGGCACGGGGGCTGGGAGGCGAGGGGAGTGCGCAAGGGTGGAGATGCCAGGAGTGCCGGTAGTCTGCTTAAGGGAAGTGGCCTATGGCCAGGGGCGTAATGGGGTCAGGATGCTGGGGAAGGATAGGTCTGGGGATGCCCCTTCCTAGAGTTCATGGGCAGCCCTATGCAGCCTTCCAGATGGGAGGCTGCTGTGCACGGAGGTGGTGAGGTGTGCTGGCCTGCAGCCAGAGCAGGGTTCTAGCCAGGACTCCTGGGGTCCTGATCTCAGCTTGCATCTCACCCCAGAAACCCTCCCTGTGTCTCCAGGGGTCTGTTCTGGCTCTTTTGCTCCAGGAAGAGCAAGGTAGGCCTTTAAGGACTGAGGCTGTCTCGGGTCACACTCTGACCACAGACCTGTATGGCCTTGGGTCAGTTCGCTCCTAGGTAATCCATTCACCCCAGAAGGCTATGACATCAGGGATGCCAGCTGAAGCCACTGGCCCAGCCCAGGGGTTGCTGGGAGCTGAGGGTAGCCAGGGATATTGGCCTCTTCTCCAGAGAGCTTTGGCAGCAGGGCCAGCCTGTGGCAGCACCCAGCCATGGGGTACACCAGCCCCACCAACACAGAGCTGGAACCTGAGCTGGGAGGAGCAGAGGGCAGACTCTGGGGCTGATGGTTCAGATCATGGAAGCGGCCAGGAGCAGTACCTGTAGTTCCAGCTACTGGGGAGGCTGAGGCAGGAGGATACTTTAAGCCCAGGAGTTCAAGGCCAACCTGGGCAACATAATGAGACCCCATCTCAAAATAAATAAATAATTTTTTTTAAGACCTGGAAGGAGACTAAACTACCAAGATTTCTAGCCTCAGGCTTCCCGTCTGTGAAAGCTGGTGACAGGACCTATCCTTTTGTGGGTCTTTTTCTGTGCCACCAGCCTCAGTACGGGAAGACTCAGTACTAGGACTAATACAGTGCTGATTCCTCAGTGCACTCTCCTCGTTGAGACCTGCTCCTCTGCTCTGCAACCTCAGGGAGAACCAGTAGGTGAGGATGCACCACAAATGCCCCAAGAGAGAGTCATGGACTGCTTAGGGTCACTGAGTCCTCTCTACAGCCCTAGGGCACCCTCCCTGTGTCAGATGAGGAGCTGAGCTCATACCAGACCCACAGCTGGTCAGTGGCAGGGGTTTCGCCTGGGCCATTCTGACCCCAGCCTACACTCTCAGCCCTGACTTGACTCTTCACTTCAAAGGACAACTAACTGCCCCCTTGGTAAGAGGTTTTCTGCCCCCAACATCCACTTTTGTCCAGCTACACAGACTTCCTGTCAGGCCCTTGAGATAGCCTTTGCTCAAAAAGCAGTGCCCCTGGGAAGGGCAGAAGCCCAGTGTGGGGCAGAGGGCAGAGGGCCTGGGTGGGCGGCTAATCCAGCCTGACTGTTGCAGCTCATGTCAGCCCTTACCCCCAGCTCCAGATCATGAACTTCAAGGTCACGGGCCTGGGCCTGGACAAAATGAGGCTGGACAGTCCACAGTCCTTCCTGGACACGGAGGAGGTGGAAGAGGGGGAGGATCAGCAGCTGCTGGAGCCAGAAGCGTGGAGGACCTATATGGAGCACCGCAATGTGCTTCGTGAGTTCCTGACCTCAGACCTGAGCCCCCATCTGCTCAAGCGCCACCATGCCCGCATGCAGTTGCTCAAGAAGTGCTCCTACTACATTGAGGTCCTCCCCAAGCACCTGGCCCTGGGTGACCAGAACCCACTGGTGCTTCCCAACACCATGTTCCAGCTCATTGACCCCTGGAAGTTCCAGCGCATGAAGAAGGTGGGCACAGCACAGACCAAGATCCAGTTGCTGCTGCTGGGAGACTTGCTGGAGCAGCTGGACCATGGACGTGCAGAGCTGGATGCCTTGCTCGAGTCCCCAGACCCGCGGCCCTTCCTGGCTGGCTGGGGGCTTGTGGAGCAGCGGCTGGCAGACTTGTCGGCCGTCATGGACAACTTCCTGGCCATGATGGTGCCAGGGCGCCTGCACATCAAGCACCGCCTGGTATCTGACATTGGGGCCACAAAGATTCCACACATCCGGCTCATGCTGAGCACCAAGATGCCAGTCATGTTTGACCGAAAGGAGTCAGTGGCCCACCAGGACTGGGTCAGCCTGCGCTGGTTTGTCACCATCCAGCCAGCGGTGCCAGAGCAGTTTGAGCTGCGCTTCAAGCTGCTGGAGCCACGGACGCAGCAGGAATGCACGCAGTGTGGCATCATCCCTGTGGCCACCTGCACCTTCGATGTCCACAACCTGCTGCCCAACCGCACCTACAAGTTCACTGTCAAGAGGGCAGAGAGCTACACACTGGTGTATGAACCATGGCGGGACAGCCTTACCCTGCAGACCACTCCAGGGCCCCCGGGAGGGCCTGCCCCCAGTCGGCTGGGCAAGCCCAGCTCGCCCCTGACCGCACCTTCTGAGAGATGATTTTCTAATATTTATCCACTAATAAAGAGGAGTATACACAGAGAATTAAACAAGCCGGCTTAGGTTTTAAGGCAGCAGCAGCCATGAGTATTTTCCTGATGGTCCAGCACCCCACAAGCCCCAGGACCCCCTTAGTCCTGCTGTCTTTCCAGGGGAGCCCCAGTCTGGACCTCCAGGACAGATGGCCACTGGAGCAAGAAGTGCCAGCCCCTGGCACCTGGCTGCCATCCCCACCACCACACCAGTCTCTGCTTTCTCACCTGCCTGGCAGGCTGGGGCTGCGTGAGAGGGTGACACCCTGGGGTCCTGTCTGGACACCACGGGGGCAGTCAGAGCCCCCACGCTAGTATTGCAGCTTCCTTGGAGCCAGGGTGCCCGAGACCAAGAGGACATTTTATTTTATTTATTTATTTTCTGTGGTGCTGGGGATTGAACCCAGGGCCTTGTGCATTCGAGGAAAGCACTCTGCCAACAGAGCTACATCCCCAGCCCACATTTTATTTTTAAAATAAAAGATAAACATCTTATATTCTCCCCAAGAAAAGCTGAAGTTCGTCGGTACCCCCATCACGAAGTGGGTGAGGGTCCTGGCAAGGGAGCCTGACCAGGAGCCTCCCCAAGATGCTAGCCAGTACCATCGCTCCTGTGGGGTGGCCATCCCTCTGCCCACCAACCCTCCTTGCCAGCTGCTGGTGGTCTCTCCCTATGCAGGTGACCAGACCCCTATGTTACCCGAGGAGCCTCGAGAGGCCATGTTCTCCAGCCTGGTCATGTGACTCTGGTGCAGCCAGAAGATGGTCTCAAACACAGCCCACTTGACTCAGGAGACGTGGATGCAGGCCTGGTCACCTCCAGGGCCACAGGGTGCACCTTGCACCCAGGCGAGGCGGGGGCGGACTGCATGGACCAGAGCCACACCAGCACACACACGTCCAGTTTTCCACCCACCACGCACATCAGTGCTCTCAGGTCTGGCAGGGGCTAGAATGGTAAAGGACAGGGAACCCTTTTTCCATTGGCAAAGGGATGGTTTGCTGCAAAGGATGGTCAGCTCCCAGTGGGGTCAGAAAGGCCTCAGCAGCCCAGCTCCCTTCCCAGGGCTCTCCAGCTGCAGGCCCACCCATGGTTCCTGTGAGCCTTCCATGCCTGTCACTCTGGCATCATGTGGCTTTGGGGACTTGCCTCTGGCCGTCCTACGGGATAGGCCATCCCAGATGTCCAGGGTCAGCATGCCACTGCTCCTGTGCTGCTTGTGGAGTGAGGACTGGGGTTTGTGCTGTGTCACACCCAACCCACTGGAGAGGGGAGGCCTGGGTAGGGGCTGGCAAAGGGAAGTGTCTTTGGGTCCAGTACTCTGGCATGCCCACTGGAGGGCTGCCCAGGTCCTGGCATCTCTGGCCCAGCCTCATGCCCCCAGCAGGCCCAGAGGCAGCAGCTCAGAGCGGAGCCACCCTGAGTAGGTCCTGCCCCTGGGTACACCCGCCTGGGCTGCTCCCTCCGGCAGACTCACTCCATGGGGCTTCCCACCTTTGTATCTTTGAGAAAGTCGCAGGGGCTGAGCGCCTTTCTCACTCCAACATGGTCTCCTTAAACCTTGTTGCTGGCAGTGGTCCAGTCCTGGCTTCCCCCTGGTCTTCAAGACCCCTTCCCCAGGAAGCCCAACTCATGGCTGGTGAGGTCCAATTGCCTCTGCCTGGGGGCACCTGTGAATCTCAGGAGATACCCCAGAACTCTGCAATAGTCTTGTTGTTGTTGTTGTCGTACTAGGGATTGAACCAGGGCACTTAACCACTGAGCCACATTCCCAGCCTTTCTTACTTATTTATTTTTGAAACAGAGTTGCTAAGTTGCTGAAGGCCTCACTATAAATTACTGAGACTAGCCTCAAACTTGTGATCCTCTTGCCTCAGCCTCCCCAGTTGCTGGGAGTACAGGCCTAGGCACTGTGCCCGGCTTCTGCAATTCTTTTACAGCTGCCCTAGAAGTATTCTCTAAGCAGCACTTCCCACGGCACCTCCCTCCAGGGGACCTGCTTTCCCTCCAGCTTCTCTCTGCCACATCCCACCCATCTGATCTCTCTGCTGGCAAGGGAGAGCAGTACAGAGGGTGCAGGGGAGGCCAGGGAGAGCCAGCCACAAACCAGCAGGATGCTCACAGCCCAGGTCTGCTTGGGGGTGCCCACGGCCTGAGGAGCAACTTCAGACAAGGCAGGGTGCTATGCAGACCACAGCTGCAGGGACCTGGCCCCTGGCCTCATGGGCTACTTTGGGTCAGCCCAGTCTGGGGACCGAGCATGAGGCTGGCCATGCAACTCGGGACAAGGCTCCCCATCCTTGCCAACTTGGTCCCCCTCCTCCACTGTCCCTGCACAGATGACCTCAGGCGGTACAGCTGGTGCCCTTGGTCATAAAGCTGGGTACTGCCATCCTCTCCACTTGCTCCCAGGTCCAGCATCTGTCCACTGGGAACCCCTGGTGACCTCCACAGCCACCTCCTAAGGAAGATGAAGGACAACACTTTTTGCCCCTGCCCAACCTCAAAGCACCCAGAAGTGAGAGCAGCTTTCAGAGGGGTCTTTATAACACCATTAATATTTAATCATGAGGGGCTGGGCTGGGCTAAGTGGCAAAGCACTTGCCTGGCACGTGTGAGGCCCTGGGTTCAATTCTCGGCACCACATAGAAATGAATAAAATAGAGTTCCATCAACAACAAAAAATATATTTAAAAAATTTAATCATGAGGTGGAATCTGAGAAAAGGTTGAAAATTGGAATACAGAAACCTGGTTTGTAGAAAACCCCAGTGGACAGGCACTCCTCCCACAGAAGGCTCTGCAGAGGCGAGGGGAGGCCTCTTGCTCCTCCTTGGACGGCTGACTTGCTGGCGGCACCTCAAGACTCAGGAGAGGGGGTGAACAAAGGAGAGCTACTTCCAGGTGGGTGGGTGGGTGGCGGCAAGCTCAAGCAGGGAGACTGCACCCACTCAACCCTGCAGAGAAAGGGCCCCAGGCAAGTTGTCCTGAGGGCTCTGGGCCTGGACAAGTGTGGCTGGGGTGGAGGCAGCCCAGAGTGTCTGGGGCACCTTGCTCCTGGCCCTTGGCCCACCCACCGGCAGGAGTGTTGTATGCCGTCTGGCTTGACTGGCCTCCCCCGATAGGCAGAGGTCTCTACAGGATAGTGGCAGTGAGGGCAGAGAAATGGCCCCTCTTCAAGGGAGGTCCTGGCCCTGCCTGTGGTCCCAGTAGAAGACGCTGGCTTTGGTGTATTTGAAACTAGAAAAGAAGGCAGATGCCATGCCAGGGTGATCCCAGAGGGTCTGAAGGTCAAAATGCAGCCTCAAAGAGGTCTCCTTCCTACCTGAGGCCTCCCGGTGACAGGGGTGTCTCCTGCCAATATGGCCTCAATGGTCAGCTGCTGAGAGGCTGTCCTATCAACCAACGTCCCATCCCGGGAGAGCAGCACAGCAGAGAGAGAGAGGGGCTCACTCCAGTCCCTCTTCTCTTTCCAAGTTCAGGCACAAACAGGAAGATCACCCCCAGGAAGAGGTCAACACCAGCTGCTGCCAGCCGCCTGGGCCTTCCCAGCAGCCACGGTGGCAAGTTGACACGGCCACCTGCCCTGGGCTCCAGTCCACTGTAGGGAGAGGGCCATGCTCTCCACCAGCATATCCTGAGCTAGGCAGAGAGGGACTCTTCAGGAAGACATTGCTGGCCTCCTTCGGACCTGCACCTGGCTAGCAGGCACGAGGCTCTGCTGGGCTGCACAGAAGTCCAGGAGACGGCGCCAGAGAGGGCAGCAGGACAGCAGGATGTGGTCTCCTGCGGGCAGAGGAAAGCAGCTCCAGCCCATCGGAGTGCCCACAGGGAGCAGCCCCAGTCCTCTCCTGGGCCCCCACACCCTCACCAATCAGGCAGAGCCCCTCCTGGGCCCGGGTGATGGCCACGTTAACTTGGTTGGGGTCCACCACGAAGCCCAGGAACTTTTTGAGCCAGCTCTTGGTCGGTCGCTGGTCCACATCACTCCTGGGGCACGTGCGGACGGTGCTCACCAGCACATAGCGCCACTCACTCCCTGGGGTGAGAGGTGAGCTTGCAGGTGCTCCCCACACCCAGTGCACTCTGACCCCCAGGTGTGGGTTTCCAAATCCAATCTCACCCTGGCTCTTGGTGATGGAGGACACAGTTACTCCAGTGACACCCTCCCTCTCAAGGCCCTTGCTGATGGCTACAGCCTGTGCATTGTACGGTGTGAGGATAGCAATATCCTGGGGGTCTACTGTCCGGTCCAGGGTCAGCTGCTTGGTGATCCGAACCTGAGCGGACAGAGTGGCAGGTGGAGCTGGACCATGGTGCCATCTGGGCCCAGGGCACATGAGCTTCCCTCAATTTCCCTTGGCCCCTCTTCCTCCTAGAAGGCCTCTCTGACACTTCCTCCTCCTTCCCCTCATCCAGTGAGCCCTTCTTAACCCCAATTCCTCCTCCAGGAAGTCTTCCCTCATTCCTCTTCCTCCTCCTCCTCCTCCTCCTCCAGGAAGACACCCCAGTCCTGACCCATGGGGGCACCAGGGAGGGTCTCTCTCATGCTTACCACCTCTGCCACCTCTTCCAGGTTGGCCTTGGAGTTCTCATTTCCTTCATCTGTGGACACCAGCAGGCTCTGCTCCTGGCCCTGCACATAGCCAAAAATGATAGAGCAGCTCTCCTTGCCAGCATAGCCCAGAATGCTGGCTGGTCGCCTCAGGCCCTGCCAGGCCCTCAGTTTCCTCCCATAGAACTCCATGGAGGGGAAGGTGCAGATGGCCTGGTGCATGCGGTACTGTGTGTCCAGGAGGAAGGCATCCCTGTGGTACCGCTCAAAGAGAGACCGATCCATCCCCAGGTTTTGCAGTTGCTTGTCCTTGACCACAGGCCGTAGCTGCTTGTGGTCCCCGAGCAGGACCACCTGGAGGCACAAGGGGCATGGTCCTGACCTGGCCCAGAGGTACCCCACCCTGTGGGCCATTCCAGACCCTGCTCAGTGCTGTCCTTCACACCTCAGCCTCCAACCCGGGGCACAGGCTCTCCACTGACTGTCCCTCACCTTCTCAGCTTTGGAGAAGCGCACCAAGGGGATTAGGGTCTCCGGTTCAGTGGCCATGCCCGCTTCGTCCACGAGGATCTGCCGGATGTCCAGCTTTTGGAGGCTGGCTGAGGCTGCACAGGAGCATGTGCACAGAATGATGGAGTGCTGGTCTAGCTCAAACTTCCGCGCCTTCCCCAGGATGCTCCTGTACCTGTGTGGGCCACAGCCTGTCATCCTGATGCCCCAGCAGGAGGCTTACCTCCCAGCCCACCACTTACAAGGCAAGGTCCTCCCTAGAGAAGACTTCCTCTCTCTGCAGCCGGGCGTCAAATGCCCTGATCTCTGGTGCAAATGGGTTGGAAGCCTGTCGGATTCGGTGGTGCAGGGTGATGCTCCTGCAGGGTAGAGCCTCAGTAAACCACAGTCCACTGTAAGGCCAACTCAGGCCCAGCCTCCACCCATGCTCAGAAGGACAGACAGGCCGCACCTGAGGGTCTCGTTTGGCCTCCCCTCCTGGTGGGCCTTGTTGAGCAGGCCTCTGCGGCCCACACCTGGAATTGGGAACTCAGTGGCCTCGGACTTCTCACTGTACACTCGCAGGGGCCGCAGCTCTGCTCTCCTGCTCAGGAGTAGTTCTGGGGGTGGTTTGGGGTGTGAGCTTAGGCTGTTCCTCTGTGCAGGCAGCCCCTGGCCACCCCATGCACTGTACCCAGCACACCTGCCATTACATCCACTGACTTGTTGGAGGGGCCACAGTACAAGATGTGTGGGCCCCTCGGCTGCCCTGCCCCACCAGGGCTACTGCTGGTGGACTCCTGCTCCTGGTGTGATTGATGCAGCCAGAACATGATGTGGAGGCCCACCACGGTCTTCCCTGTACCTTCAGTCAGAGCACAGGGTAAGCAGAGCCCACCCTATTTCCCAGGATCCCCGTGGCCCATGGCCCAGCCTGCCCAGGGAAGCCCTGCTCCCCTTGCATGTGGGCCCACCTGGTGGGCCCTGGATGACTGTGAAGGGCTTCTCCAGAGCCTTCCTGACGGCCTCGTTCTGGCCAGAATTCAACTTGTGGTGACCTCCGGGGATGTCATAGGCCTCTAGCTCCAGGAGCCTGCTGGCAGCCACTGGGAGCTGGGGACCAGGCCTCCCTAAGCACCCATGCAGGACAGGGAGGGGGCAGGAGGGTGAGCTGGGGTGGGGCTTGGGGCTGGACCGGCCCAGAGCAATGCTGACCACCAGGGGGGACGCCTTCTTCAGCCCACGCACGGCTTCCTCCTTGCGCCTGGGAGTGAGAGGGACACAGGGAAGTCAAGAGGACCCCCCACCCAGGAAGAGACCATGCTCACCTTCCACACCTGCCCTGGCCTCACAGGGCAAGCCTGGTCGAAGCCACTCACAGGTCAGGAAGCTGCTTGGGCATCACCTCCACAGTGAATCGAGTGCCGGGCCTCAGCACCTCTTCTGGAACCTTCTCCATGGCCATTTGGTGGATGAAGAAGTGCACCCTCCTAAAGGCCTCCTGCCGGTCTTCCTGGTCCTCCTGGTCCAAGTCCTCAGTCAGCCCGTGCGCTACCCAGGCATACCCAGGGGGATCGATGCTCAGGATGGGCCTGAGGCTGCTGGGCCTGGCAGAAGGGGCCTGGAGCCCCTCGAGCCGGATGCAGAGATAGCAGCAGCTGAAATTGACATGGATGCAGCTCTCCCAGAGGAAGGCAGCGTCCAGGAGGAAGGTGCCCCGCAGGTGCCCTTGGGGGGTGCTCTCCGCGTCCCAGTTGATGCACACATGCTGCAGCGTGATGGAGCTGTTCTCTGCAACTGCATTGGTGGCCGACTCCAGGCCGCAGAGAGGCTCCCACACACGGGAGTACTCATCCTCGTCGCGGTACCAGTCTTGCGAGGCCTGGAGCACACGCCCAGAGAAACAGTCACCAGGCCGCTCCACATGCTCCAGGCAGAGGCTGAGGCCGGGCACCACAGTCCACAGCTGCAGGGCTGGTGCCAGAAAGCCACGCTGCAGGCTGGTGCTGAGCTGTACCTGCAGGGTGTCCCCGCTGCCCAGCTCCCGGACAACCTCTATGAAATGGCCACAGGGGCTCTGACGCACGTGTATAGGCTCCCGCCCTGGGGACTCCTCCTGGCCCTGCTCCTGGATGAGGGCAGCTGCCTCCGGCCAGCGCTGCTCCTCCATCAGCACCAACAGCTGCTTCCATTGGGCTGCACCCACAACCCGGGTGTATGGGTCGTGCAAGGTGCCAGGCAGTGGGGAGGATGGCCGGGACCTCTGCACCGAGTAGATGCGGCGTCGCCATAGCAGCCGCAGGCCTGGCCGGCTCTCCAGGCTGCGGGGGTGGTCAGCCAGCTGCAGGTAGCTATAGTGGACAGGGTAGGGATCAGGCAGCGTCTCTTGGTTGACTGGGAAGAGGAGCTTGAAGCAGTGGGTGCCCATCTCCACATCCACCACAAAGCCCAGCTTATTTTGGGGTTGGGCCTTGAGCTGGGTGGCCAGGTGCAGGCTTCGGGCCCGCCGCTGATAGCTCCGGGAACATGCATACTGGCTGCCAAAGTCCTGGCAGAGTCCATCGATGTCCCTGGTGGAGTACTCAGGCCCCCCATGGCCCAGCGCCAGCAGCAGCAGCCTTTGCACCACCAAGTCCAGGTACCTGCGGATGGGCGATGTGGCCCATGTGTACCAGTCCACCTGCAGTGAGTAGTGGCTGGCCAGTTGCTGCTCACCCTGGCTAGAGCGGCCAAACACCGAGCGACCTAGGACCTTTCGGAAGGCAAGGCCTGCAGGAGCCAGAGAAGGGTGCATGTCATCCGTGGCAATGAGGTCCACCATCCGGTCGTAGTCCTGGGCATGGGCAGCGAGCTGGACATGCTTCCAGAGGGAGGCCAGGACATGCAACTGCTTGCCCGGGGTGCTATGGTCATGCAGATAGTGCTGGAGGCGCGGTGACAGGGCCACCAACTCTCCATGCCGCTCACGAACGGCTTTAAGCTGGAGACTGCTAGGTGTGGGCTGCCACCTCAGGGGTGTGACCGTCCTTGTGTGCTCACACTGCACCAGGAACTGAGCCACCAGTCTGTTAAACTGGATCATGTACTCTTTGACCATGATGTGGGCTACGCGGAAGCCCAGCTCACTGTCCTCCTGCGGGGGCTCATAGTCACAGGCAGTCTGCAGGCGGTGTCGGCGCAGCACCCGGGAGAAGTAGCAGGCAGCTGCGACACAGGCCTCCACTGAGCCCAGGTGGGCTGGCAGCTGCAGGCCGGCGCCTGGGTATCCCTTGATCATCGCCTCAGCCTCCTCATAGGACAGCTGGTGGTCAGAGCATATCACAGAGGGGGCAAAGCGCAGGCTCTGGAGCTGGCCACTGCCCTTCTCCATGGTGAGGAAGAGGGAGACAGCCAGGCGGTCCCGGCCTGGCAGGAGACTGAGCACTTCCTGGCAGACTGTGACTGGCAGTATGAGCACTGGCTCTCTATCGGGAGCATAGAATGCAATGCCCTGCCGGCGGGCCTCCACGTCCAGGGTCCCATCCCTGGGCACAAAGCTGGCCACATCAGTGATGTGCACAGCTACCTCACACCTGGTGCCCAGGTCCCGGACACTGAGGGCATCATCTAGGTTACAGGCACCCTGGGGGTCCACAGTGAAGGTCAGGAGGCTGCGACAATCTTCTCGGTCACCAGCAGCAGAGTCCAGCTCCATTTGGTATCTCTCCAGCACCTTGGTGATGGAGGCTGGGTCAGGCATGGGGGTCCTGAGGCCATGCTCCAGGTCCAGGATGCGGAGGCCCTGCTCCCAGGTGGTGGCCTCGGGCAGCACATCCAGGATTATGCCCAGTGGGTAGTAGAAACGCTCACGCCACAGGACGATGTGGACCCAGAAGAGCTGGGTGTGCCGAGCCTCAGCCGAGAGGGTCTTGTGCCCCACACGCTGCACCCGGCCCCGGAGCAGGCGGTGAATGGGGATGTGCAGCGGATCCTTCAGCTCAGCCACAAAGATCTTGGTCACAGAGCTGTCCACAGGGATCATGATCCGGGGATCCCACTTGTCCATCCGGCACACAAAGGCCAGCGCATGACTCCTCCTCTTCAGCACACCCACCACACGGCCCTGCAGCCGTCCTATCATGTCCCCATCACCAGCCTCCCGGTCCAGGACCTGCACCAGCACCTCATCCCCTGTAAAGGCCATCCCACAGTTCAGACGGCCCCTGATCTGGATGGGGCTGGAGGCTGCATTGCTTAGCGGCATGGCGGACGCCCGCTGGAAGGTCTCCTTCAGGAACGTGCAGTGGCGGTACAGCTCGGGCTCTGAGTGAAGTAGCTCCCGCAGCATGGCTGGGGGCAGGTTGGTGTACTGCTGGGCCTGCTGTGGAGACTTGGGTCTGGCTACGGTGTCCAGCAACCCATCCTCCCCAACAGTCACTGTCACCTGTCGGCTCTCATCCAAGAGCTCCTGCAGGATGGCATCCTCGGCGTCGAGCTCCCCGTGGGAAGGCCAGAAGTCAGATTCCCAGTCCTCGGGGTCTGCAGGCCTCCTGCCCTCCAGGGTCCGCCCTGCTGCTGCATCCCCAGGGGCTGCGTCCCCTGCCTCCACCTTCACAGCGACCTCACGCCCCTTGGCCACGGGCTCGGGCAGAACCCTTGCCACAGCCACGTGCTCTGTGGCTGGGCCTCCAGCTGTCTCTTCTGTGACAGTGTCCCTAGCCACTGCTGCCCCAGCTGCCTCTGCTCTGGGGGCCACAGGGGCCCAATGCCGCCTCTGAGCCACACTCTGCTCGATCTGCTCTAGCGACAGGCTCTCGGGACAGATGCTGCGGTGCTCCACACACTCGTGGATGAAGCTCCTCCAGAGCTTGCTGCAGGCTCCAAAGGAGCAGAGGGCTACTGCATCCCCCACAGCCACCAGTTGGGACTGGGCTCGGGTCATGATCGTGTTCAGCACACGGGCCTCGGTGAAGAACTCGGAGGCCAGTGCCCTGGGGCCGAGCAGACTGAGGGAGTTGTGCACAGTGCTCAGTACCACCACCCGGAACTCCCGCCCTGCAGGGGACACATGGGTCAAACTGCTAGTCAGGACAGTGGACAGACCTCCATCTTCAGCTTCACCCCCCACTGGAGCAAGACTGAGGAACAGGCCAGAAACTGCCCCACAGCCAGGTGCCCCTTGCCCATGCCACTGACCACTCACCTGGCAGGATCTCAAAGCTGCCCACAGACACCTCGCCCAGCTTCCTTCTCCTCAGCTCCTGCCTCAGGGCAGCGACCTGGAGACAATAGGTCAGAGCATGAGGGGTTGGTGCCCTGCCAGCGATGGGCCCCAGAGACCTGGGCACCCTCAGCCGCCAAGCAGCACCCATTCTGGAACTTCAGGTGGTAAACTTCCAAGGAGGCCAGAGGCTGGGCTCACCTGGGCACCATGGGAGACAGCACAGATGTGTCTCTGCTCCCGGCTACCCCAGCAGCGGGGCCAGGTGTTGTAGACTTCCTGCACTTTCTCCACCACCTGAGCGACCTCCGCTGCATTGATCCAGGACGTCCTGGACAGGTCCTGCTCAGGGGTACCCGCCACATGGCAGAACATGAGCGGGTAGTGCTGGGGGTGGCGTGGGACCTTGCCGCTGGCCTGGATGGGGTTGCCCTTGGTCGTGTAGAAGTGGCGTGAGACGAAGCTGATGATGGCTGCGGTGCAGCGGTAGTTCTCGTGGAAGATGAGGCGGCTCTTCTGGGCAACCATGTGGGCCTCCTGCTGGTAGTGCAGGAAGAGGCGGTAGAGCAGTGTGTGCCTGGCCGCCCTAGCCCTGGGCACGCTGAAGAGCCTGGGCGTGACCTGCATGTGGTCCCCCGCCAGCACCACACGGGTGTGGGGTGAGGCATAGGCCAGTGGGGTGAGGGCTTCGCACTCCAGCATCTGGGCAGCCTCATCGATGAGGATGTGGGAGAAGAAGCCGACTGGCACCTGCAGCTTTCGGGCCTGGGAAGTGGTGGTGACCACCAGGCGGTGATGTGCCAGCTCTGCCCTGGTGGGTGGGCGGAAGGCCCGGCCGTCCTCTGTCAGGCAGCAGTACTGCAGCGTAGCAGGGTCTGTCTGGCTGGGCGGGCGGTCTGTGTACATCACCCGGAGCGGAGCTGCCTCAGGGTGGTTGCTGACATAGGCGTGGAAATACTCCCGGATGTAGATGTCTGCAGCACTGCGGAAGCACAAGGCATGCAGCTATTCCCACTGTCTGCTAAAATGCCCCATGTACCTGGCCCCACCTGGAGATCCTGGAAGGAGGTGGGCAGAGTCCTGCCAGGCATGCTGGCATCCCCAGAGGGAACAGACACACGGCGAAGATGCAGGAAGGTCAGAGCCTGACAGAAAGGAATGGGAGGAGCAGAAGCTCCTGCGGGGTCAGGGAGGGCTCAGAGGGGGAGCGGTTTAAGGCAAAGCAGGGAGGAAGGTGAAGGAGCTGGCCATGGCCTGCAGCAGCCCAGGGTGACCAGAGGCTGGCCTGACCTGAGCATGGCTCCTGGGCTCTGTCAGCAGTGGGCAGCAAGAACTGGTACCCTAACTCTCAGGGGCAGAGTCCAAGGGTCAAGAGGCAAAGGAAAGGCTGTTGGCACCTTCCAGGTGAGCCATACCTGGCCCCACTAGCCCCCCAGACACTGCCAAGACCCAGTGATCCCCACCCTAAACCCAAAAGATTGGCCCAGGACATGTGGCCCTGTCCTGTGCATCCTCCCTCCTGATGCCGGGCTGAGGAAGACCCCAGAAACCTGCCAGCGTATGCTGTTGGAGAACCAAGAAAACCACATCAACCAGAGGGGAACTTCCCTATTGAGAAATCTGTGTTTCTATAGAAAACACAATCAATCAAGGGCCTTGCCATGTAAAGCTGAGCAAGCCAACCTCTGCCACCCTTCTATGGTACATGACCTCTTGGTGGCTCTCCAGTCCCTCAGCCAACAACATACCCATCACCCCAGGGCAGCTGGCCCTCAGGAGAGTCCCCACAGAGGGCTGGATACTGGGCAGGCCTGGGCTCACCTGTTGGTGTGTGTGCAGATGAGTACCTTGGTGTGGGACTGCCGAACCACCTCCAGAGAGGCCATGGCTAGTGTGTAGGTTTTGCCAGTGCCAAAGGGCCCATAGATGAGTAGCGGGGGAACAGGCTTCATGCCTCCTGGGCTGCTGCCTGCAATGAGCCGCACAGCCATCTTCTGCTTGCGGTTTCCACACAGTGAGGGTGGGATGGGCCCGAGATGGGGCACAGTGCAGTTGGGCAGGTCCGGTATCACCAGGTGCTCCTTGGGCAGTGCGTCCACTGCCTGGTGCCAGAGGCGGAATGGCATTGGGTCAATCTGGAACTGCACTTCTAAGAGGGGGTTGTCCTCAGGCTTTAGCTCTAGGGCCACACAGCAGTGTGCTGGCAGCAGTAGCCACAGAGCTTGCTCTGAGCTGGCCCGTGTCTCCAGCTGCACTTCGAACACTGTGTCATTAGGTGCGGGCACAGGGGCTATGAGGGCCGTGCTCACTGCCCGACTCAGCAGGAAGCCCTGGTCTGTATCTGGCATCAGAGAGGAGGGGACAGGGACTTCGGCGTAGAGGGCTCCCTGTGGTGCGAAGAGCATGCCCAGTGCTGGTGTCTGCAGAGCCGCCTTCAGGGACACCTGGACCTGCATGGTCAGCCTGGTGGGAGCACCTGGTGGTGAGCTCCCAGGCCACAGCTGTAGACCTGGCTTCACATTCAGATTCCCAGCTGCCCACCCGCCTGCTGCCTGCCTCACCTGGCCACCAGCTGCTGCTGAGCAGCCTCCTCCTCATAGAGGAAATTGTGCATCTTCTGCCGATAGTTGCTAAGAGAGATGGGGCCTGAGGCCAGGCTGCTGTGACTGAACTCCAAGGCCAGGGCCGGCGCCTTGTACTTGGCCACCAGGGCTGCTTGCTCAGCTGTGCGTGGCACGCAAGGAACCACGTGACGGTTGCCTGTGTGCCAGCGGCCCCGCTCCTCGAGGAAGGTAGGTGCTGGCCTTCCACAGAATCCTAGGCTCTGTGCTTGGCCCAGCTGCAACCCCAGCTTCTGAAGCAGAACTGGCCGGCGGCCAAAGTCGAAGACCACCCACTGCTCAAAGGTACCAAAGGAGGCAGCCTGCACATGCACCTCCACCTGGAATTCAGCTGAGGTGTCAGGCACACGGAAGTGTTGCCCCTGCGCATACAGCTGGCCCCGTGGGAGGGAGGGGGCCACCAACGAGAAGTCTGCTCCAGGCTCCTGCTTAAGCAGGGCCACGTGGAGCAGGGGGTCCTAGGAGAAGAGACTGGATGTGAGGTGCACCCCCAGGCCCTGACCCAACCCTCTGGGCATCATCCCAGTCTCCTTCCCTCCCAAGAGGCAGTTCCAGCCACTCTCTGGGTGTAGAACCTAAGCCTGCTTAACCTCCCTGGTCTCCTCTGCATGGTGGGGTCATGGGACGTGCCTTAGGCCCTGTGGATGTGAGCATAGGCAGGATGGGCAGCCTGGGCCCACCTCACCCTCCCTCTTGGGGAACCAGACACTGCTAACCCATGAACGCTGCAGAGGGACCCTCAGGGTGGGGGCTCTTGAGATGCCCTGTCTGTAGGTAAGGAAACTGAGGCAGAGAACTAAGGAACCTGCCCAGGTCCAGATCCCAGGCTCCTGACATCTACCCATCTCTGGTACTCACCTCCTGGGGCATCCTTCACCCAGGGATAGACTAGCCCACAAGGCCTGAGGCCTTGGATCTGTGCTAAGCCCTCACCTCAGAGTGGACAGTGAACGTCCAGCTGTGTTGGGTCTTCTTCTCCTGGGCCTTATGCACTAGGGGCTGGTGGCAAGTAATAGACACTCCAGGGACAGTCTCAGCCAGCTGCAGGGAAGACCTGGCCTTTAGCAGGGCAGCCTGAACCTTCCCCCTACCCCTGGCACAGCCCCCACTTACCACCAGGACCTCGCTGCTGCTGTGCTGGTACTCAGCCAGCAGCCGCGCCCGGTAGGGCATCAACCCATCCTTCCAGGCTTCTTGCTCCCGCAGCTGCAGGGCCTGTGCCCGCTGGACCCACTCTTGCAGTTCCTGGGCTGAGTGTGCCTTGGTGCAGATGTCCCCATATTCACAGAGGTCAGGCCTGGGGGCAGGGAGGTCATCAGGGCTACATGGAGGTGCAGCCGAAAGGTGGGCTGAAAGGCAGGCCTCCTGTGCCCACTCTAGCCTGTATGGGAAGCAGGATGGATTCCAGGCCAGGGGCATGCACGGGCCTTGCCTGCTGTCTACTCTCATGCCCCGAGGACAAGGCCTGTCACGCAGCTCCAAGAAAGGGACTTTCCTTACCCAGGTCCTCAGAGGCCAGGTAGTGCTGACCCACTGGGAGAGGATGAGGCAGGTGCAGGGAGCCCCAGGACCATGAGTCTTGCATTTCCTGGTGCTGGCTGGTGGGGATTCGTCTCCCACCTCAGGTTCCCACCCAGCTGTCCTTACCTTGGGCAAAGCTCAAATGTAGACAACCCCATGGGTGGGCTGCGGTACTCCCAGGGCACAGCCTGGTCGTAGGCCACCATCTGTGCATGCTCCAGGGAGGAGCAGTGGTTCTCAAAGGCTTCCTGAGTGTGGCAGGTGACCAGGCAGGTGTGACAGTACAGCTGGACCCCAGGGGGCTGGCCCTGGGGCGCTGTACACTGTGCCTCCCCAAGGGCAGGGTGAGTGAGCAGGTCCTCCCGCTGGAGCCCATCCAGCTGCTCGGCCTTCCACACGGCCATCTCTACAGCACTGTGTGCATACTGGCAGCGGGCAGCGCCATGGCGGCACGGCTGCCCACGCTCCACGAACATGCAGTAGTTCAGCAGGGGGCGATTCTGGGGCAGTGGCCGCACCTCTACAAACTGCCGCTTGCGGCCCTCGGTGCTGACATGGATGAGGAGTGACTGGCAGGTTCCATGCTCGGGGCACCGTCCCTGGGGGTCCATAGGGCTAAGGTGTGGGGGGCAGCGCCTGAAGCAGTGGGCACACAGAAGTTGGAAGTGACCTCCGAACTCTGCACAGATGGTGTCAGCCGCCCCAGGTGGCCCACCCTGAGCCCTCTTGCCCTGCAAGGCAGCCTTCAGCCACAGTCGGGAGAGGTTGTGCTTGCGTTCGAAGGTCCAGACCAGTGCCTCCTCTCGGCTGTGGGCGAAAGTGCACCGGTTCCTGTGGCGCCGGCAGCCCAGCTCTGGGCTGTAGTAGCGACAGACTTTGTAGTACAGAGGCCTTGGGAAGGTGGGCCTGCGGCCCACCCTGCGCCAGACCTGACTCTTGGCAGTGCACTTGCAGCGGGCCAGCAGAATCTCCTGGGGGCAGCCATGCTCCACCTTCTGCAGCACATAGGTGGTCTCGTTGAGGCGCTGGGCACAGCGAGGGCAACCCAGATAGAGGTCCACTTTGGCGTAGAGCCTGGCTAGCCCCTTGGTGGCCAGAGGGCTGGTGGGCAACGGACCACGCCCCGGGGATGCCATGTCTGAAGCTGACCAGGCTCTTCAGGGCGGCATTCAAGACTCCCTGGCCCACTGGGACAGGAGGCCCAAGTCAGGCAGAGGTCAGAGGGTCACCCACACATTCCCCCAGGCCAGGGTGAAGAATCCTGCCTAACCCAACGCAGAGAGAACTGTTGGCAGTGGCCTTGACTGATGGAGAAGCTAAGACTACTGGCCTGACCCACCAAACCCCTTCCTCCTGAAGGGTCTCCAGCTTGCTCAAGAGAAGCAGAAGTGACAGCTGGGGACACAGGAGAACCCTGGAGGCTACAGAAGCTGGGCCCAGTGAGGCCTGGGACTCCCAGGTTTCCGTCTCCTTTACAGACACTATACCTCTTTTCTGAGAGTCCACAGTGTCTCTTAGGGTGACTGTACCCCTAGTCTTGGCAGTGGGGACCCAGGGTGGGGAGGACACAGCCCTGCAGAGGACCAACCCTTTCCAGGTAGGAGAGATAACAGAGTTCCTACAGGGATGCCAGGAGAGGGGGCTGCCCAGGACTCAGAGTTTTAGCTGGGGCCACTCCAGCTGGGACGAGGGAGGTGACAGCTCCTTGCACACTCTGCTGGTCAGGAAACTTTGGGGTAATACAAAAACAATGTTTTAAAAATAAATGACTGGGACTGTGGTTGTGGCTCAGTTGTAGAGAGCTCGCCTAGCACGTGCAAGGCCCTGGGTTCGATCCTCAGCACCACATAAAAATAAATAAATAAAATATTGTGTCCAACTACAACTAAAAAATAAATAATAAAAACAAAGAAAGAAAAATGACTAGGGTAGCCCCACCCAGGGTCTGAAAAACCCTGTACCCAAGTGGAAATTTCTGAGCCAACCAGGTGCTGGATCCAGTAGGAGATGCAAGGGAGTCTGGCTGTGCTGCTGTGGGTGGGGTTGGGGGCCTTCCAGGCAGCTGGCTCACTCCCCGGGACTCAGGAGCACTGGCATCCCTCCCCTCCCCAGCAGGCCCTGGAGCACTGGCATCCCTCCCCTCCCCAGCAGGCCCTCCGGTCTCGGCTCCAGCTACCACCAGGGGTTTACCCAGCACTCACCAGCACCAACCTCCAGCAGTGATCACTTTCGATTCTGCCCCTGGGGCGGCTCAAACCTCAGATGCCTGATCACGGAAATTACCTCACTGACCCCTGCCCCGCCCCCGCCCCTGCCCCGCCCTCGAGTGACACCTCCCCTCCCAGCCTTGGTGGAGCTCCCTGGACTGCGGAAGAAAGTAGGAAGAGTCCTGGGGTGCCCTGGGGTCAGCCATTCTTGGCCCCAGCCTCACACACACATTCTTCTGTGGCCTTGGGTGTACGGAGGGGGAGTTTCAACCTGGGCAGATGGCTAATGGTGCCATGCCCATTTGGGGTTTAAAAGATATTCCTATTGGAGGTGAGGAGCACTTTCTTGCAGACCCGGGAGCCCGCACAAGTGCACTCTGGCTAGGAAGGAGTACTGGGGAGGGGGAATGGGCTGAGAGTTCTGCAGGGGGAGGGGCCCTTTCCTAAAAGGAAATATCCCTCTGAGGCTCTAGTGACTACATCCAACCCCCTGAAACAAATGAAGAGGTCCAAGCTATGACTTGAAGAGCCAGGAGCATTACACAACCTCTCTTGAGCTGTGCCTAACCTCCTGGCCTTGTGGAGAAGGGCCACCATCAGCTGAGCACAGCAGTCACCCCAAAGGCTACACAGCCAGCTGATCCCCAGCTGAGCCAGGAAACTGTGGGCGTAGGATCCTGATCTCGCCCACTGCAAAGGCCAACCTGAGCAACCAGGGAGCCTGGTACAAAACTGGCTGGGTATCAAAAAAGACTGCCAACTTCCTCCCTCCCTGCTCTCTCTGACCACACATGTTAGGGGACACCCCAGGACCACTCCTCCCAGAGGGGAGCCATATTGGGGAGAACTGAGGCTCCTGCCAACCTCCAGCCCTGGCCGACAGCCTGACTGCAGCCTCAGTAGACGCCAAGCCAGAACCACACCTTGTCACTTCCAGCAGCGAGATCATAAATGTTTATTGTGGTTTTAAGCACTATGTTTGGGTGGCTTGTTACACAGCAGTTGACAGCTACTGCAGCACTGTGGTCCCTCAAACAATAAGGCACATCTGTCTCCAATCTCCCTCCCGCCAGGCAAGTGAAAAGCAGAAGCTCTACCGCTGGGCACACACCAATAACCAGGAGCCTCTGAACACACAGATACCAGAAAAGAGGACGAGAAAGAGATTCCCAAACAGGAGCAGCACAAGAAATGAAGTTGAGAAACATGCAAGAAGATCTTCGGGTACTCCTGGGGATCATGGGGCACTGCTGAGACAGCAAGAGGGCTCTGTTCTCACACAGGAAGACCTAACCCTAAATCTGTCTGAATAATGCAAATTACAATGAAGTGCCAAAGGAAATGGGGCATAGTAGACATGCTGGTTGTAAGATTCTTTGGGGAAAGCATCTCATAAACAAGAACAGGCAGGACAATCACTAGAAAGAGTATTCCGAGCATGTGCCACTACAAACCCCTGAAGGAAGAGCATGAGCACAAGCACATCAGCAGATTTCAAGGCTTAGCAGAGAGCCCTGAAGCCAACCCAAGCACATGCCAGTGTCACCTGTGAAGAGTGGCAGCGCTTCAGACCACAGGGGAAGTCAGATTGTTCAAGCCTGGTTAACAGTCGTCACATCCTGAAACAAAAACAGCAGAGTGGGGAAGGCCTTGATGCAAATAGTGACAGGCAGAAGATTAAAACAGGAAACGCAACCACCACAGAGACCCTGGAAGAAACCTAGGCAGAACGTGTCTGCCAGTCAGTAGTCTTGTATATGACTGGCCTTCCGAAGGAGGGCCCATCCCTGCAGCCAGCATGTTGGGCATACTCCTTCCCACTCAGGACTCAGGGACTCTGTACTCCAAGCAGACTATGAGGGACAGTGTTCAATAGTTCTTTCCTTCTCATAGAGCCAGCTGTTAAACATCTACCAGTGTGCTGCTGACAGGTCCAGCCACACATGAGCAAAGCAAGCCTAGCTCATGTCACAGTGAGATTCTCAATTCTTTAGTTTTTTAAAGATCTTAAAAATTCAGAAAAATATCCAGTCTAAGAGAAAAGTAGGCAAAGCATGTGCTCCAATACTGCACGCACCACAAAGGAACTAGAAATTGGCCACTGTGGTGCACGCCTGTAATCCCAGCAGCTCGGGAAGCTGAGACAGGAGGATTATGAGTTCAAAGCCAGTTTCAGCAATTTAGCCAAGCCCTAAGAAACTTAAAACCCTGACTCTAAACAAAACATAAAAAAGGGCTAGAGATGTGGCTCAGGGGTTAACACTCCTGGGTTCAATCTCTGGTACTGAAAAAAAAGAGGAGGTGCTGGGAGTATAGCTCAGTGGTGTAGCACCTGCCTATCTGCACATGTGAAGCCCTGGGTTTAATTCCCAGTATGGGAAAAAAATCAAATTAAAAAGAAACAAAGTGCGTTCCCATCTCCCACTCAGCTTCATCTCCTGAACCATTTGTTCCCAGAGTCAACGGTGCCTAGCCTGGCTTTGCCCTCTGCCAGTGCTAGGAGCCATGGAGGAGATTCAGCCCAGGTCTCCTGTGGTCTGGGGGCAAGGCCCAGATTTTCTGAGGGGCATCTTTTGCTCTAAGCAGCTCTGGCTGTGACACTTAAGCAGCACCCAACACCTGTCTCCCTCCCCCCACCCAGGAACTTCTGCTCTGGCAGAAGCTCATCCAGGAGTGACCAGGTGGCCAAGTGTGGTGGCGGTGGTGTGGCAATGTCTAGATTTTGTCAGCACCCAGGGATCCTGACTTAAGCCAGGGAAAGACACAGATCCCCTGCCCCTGGAATCAGGGGAGGGGCTGCATCTGTACCAGACAGACATTGCCAAGGAAGCGCCTAGGCTCTGAGTGCTCCCAGATGCCCCCTTGCCCTGCCCCCTCAGCATCTCTGCAGGGCCTCCAACCCAACTTCACTCCTCCCCAAACTGCATGCCTCAAATCAGTCCCCAGTACGGCCGGGGGGGGGGGGGGGGGGCTGTACTTCCCTGCTAGTCCCCACCCACAGTGGCCAACCTGGGCTGCCCCACCCCCATCAGACTCAAAGCCTGATCAAGAGCATGTCATGGGTGTCCCCAAGGGCCCATGCCCCCAAGTGGCATCTTGCCTTGTCATTCTGAGTGCTCCACTCCATGGCCAACTCTCTAGAATGACTGGGAGAGGGGATGCGCTCAGTATAAGGAGGGGGTGGGCAGGAGTATCCCACCACATCAGCCTGCGGCTGCAGGCCCAACGAGGCCATGGAGGATCCCTTCTGTTGGGGCTGGGGGGTGACCATTCCAAATTCCTGGACACTTGGTCCTGCAGAGCCTGGCTCCCCTCGTGCTTTGTGGGATGACATGCCAGAGGAAGAAGTCAGGTAGGGGACACAGTCCACCCTCCCTTCCCCCACAGCCTCCCTGTGTGCTGCTCCTCCCTTGACACCTAGATATGGCTTGCTCTGGGAACCCAGAGGGTCAAGTCCATACTCCTGGCCTCTGGCCTCAGCCCTCACTGAGACACCTGCCTCTTACCTTCCAGGGTGTCTGCTCCACTGCCACTCCCTGTGCATACCAGGCACCTCTAGGACCTGTGGTTGTGACTGGGGATTGGCCAGTGTGCAGAGGACAGGAAGAACTGTGTAGCTACTCGTGGCCAGTGTGGCTGCCTGGGTGACCCCAAGCTTGTAGAAGCTGGATGGAACACAGTTGCCAGTGTGGGGAGCCAGCCCAGACCCAGGTGTGCAGCTAGAATCTCCTCGAGGGCCAAGCACAAGGGCGTCTTCAACAATAGTGCTAGGACCACTGAGCTGAAGCTGGGGGGGGAAGCGGGAGGAGCCAGGCCTGACCTGCACCCCAGCTCAAGGGCTCCCAGGGCCAACTGAACATGGAGTGAGATGGTGGGAACCAGAGCTCCTCACAGCCTGGGGAGGCAGCCCTTTCTCTGAAAGGACATGGAAGCACTGATGGAAAAATTGATAAATTGTTTCCACAAATATCAGAACTCCTGCACTTTAAAGGACATCAGTGATAAAAATGAAAAGGTAAACTATCAACAGAGGAGATACATTAAAAATAAACAGACCTGGGCTGGGGATGTGGCTCAAGGGGTAGCGCGCTCACCTGGCATGCATGCGGCCCGGGTTCGATCCTCAGCACCACATACCAACAAAGATGTGTCCGCCGAGAACTAAAAAATAAATATTAAAAATTCAAAAAAATAAAAAAATAAAAAAACAAATAAACAGACCTAAGGAATCCAGAGCAGGTTTTGGTTTTTTGTTTTGCTTTGTTTGTTTTTTTTGGGTGCTAGGGATGGAACCCAGGGCCTTGCTATGCTGGACAAGCTCTGCCTCTGAGCTAACTCCTTGCCTGAGATTGTTTCAAAATTTTAAAATTCAAAAATTAAAGGCTGGTTTCTAAAAATGAACAAAATATTTGAGACACACCTCACATAAAAAAATATAAAAATGACCAAAAGCACAAAAAGACATTCCACATGAAGTCCTTTGGAGACACAAACCAGAGCTCCTGAGGTGAGGCCCTATACCTGGATGAAGTTGGACCCTCCCAGGCATGGAGGAGGCACCAGATGGTACAGCCAGCTCAGAAACCAGTTTGGAAGTTTCTGGCAAAGTCAAATGAACATTGACCTCATGACTAAACAACTGCATGCCTACCACACCTGCCCAAGGAGATGACACACATCTGCACTTTCTCTTTCCTTTTCTTTCCTTCATGGTGCTGGGGGCTGAACCCAGGGGTACTCTGCCACTGTGCTACACCCAGCCCTTTTTACTTTTTTATTTTGAGACAGGATCTTGCTAAGTTACCAGCCTGCCTGGCACTTACATCCTCCTGCCTCAGCCTCCTTGGTAGCTGAGATGCAGACCTGGCCACTGAGCCCAACGACACACAGACATTTTCGATATATGGTTGCATTACACGACGCTAAGGAGCAGCTGTGAACCAGGTCATGGTGGCAGAGTGGGGAGTGGCTGGGAGGGGAAGGAGGGAATGCCCTACCTCAGCCAGGGCCACAGTTCCCTGTCCATCGCCGAGACTCAGCCACAGTCCTCCGGAGTGCTGTGTTTC